TGGGTTACACAATAATTTATTAATAAGAGAATTTTTAATTTGTAGAATATGTACTTCAAAAATTACTTCATTAGATTTGTTAATGTCATTACATAGTTCTAGGTAATTAGAAAGTTGTCATCATGCTAATTTAGTTTTATATATTTATTGTTTGTAAATTACCAATGAGCATGGTATACTTCTTCAATAAAAATGAAATGCAAGGATGGTACGTGAGGAAATATCGGATGATGATCTCAGCATTTGTATTGTCACTAGACCTCGTGAAGAGGAAGCCAAAGAAGATGTGGTGATGATCCCCTTTGTCTAACAAATATAACTTAGGTACCTTTCACACATGTATTTCTCTTATTGACTTTTCAAATTCACCTATAGTGTAGCTCATAAGGTACTTTGAGGTATACACTTCAAGATCTGGACAATCGGGGAGAAACAATTCAAACTATTCTAGATAGATGATTCTCTAAGAAACTTAATTCTACTAATTAATTTTTACTGATATTTTGTGTTATTTATTAAATAATAGAATATTAAATTATGATTTAAAAATCGATTAGTTACCTGAAATCTTGTTAAGACCTTATTTGGTGCACATTTTATTAAATTTTTTTTGCAACTACACATTTTTTTGGATCCATAATTTTCAACAATATATTTTACGATATCCACAATTTTTTCAACTTTTTAACCATATATTTTATAAGCCTTTTTTAAACTTTACTAAAAATATAATTTTTTAGCTAAATCAAACAGGGCTTAAATGTTAAGAGGTTATCAGTTCTTGGAATACTAATTTAGAGAGGTAAGATGATAAAGAGTGAGTTTGGGTATATAAATGTAGGGAATCAAACCGATCCTTTATTTCAAGAAGTTAAAATATATAATCTCTTGAAGCCTAATTTAAAGTTTCGAATTTTTAAAATAAAGAGAATCTCGCTATTAAGCTGTCTTTTATTGATGTTTTCTTAGTTGGATTCTTCTATTTTGAATAATACAAGTCATGAGATACTGATTACAGGATTTTTCCTCGTAAGAGAGATTGAGTCTGCTTAAAAGAGAGACCTAAAGCATATCTAGCAAACTTTAAATGGTTTAGATAGTATACTAAAAATTTACTTATAAGTAATGTTAACCTCTAATTTCGTACCTCCAAAGTGGCTAACAGATTCCAAGGCATCCCATGTCCACGTAAGCCTCGATTCATGCACACTAGGACGAGTGGTTTCCTTCGGTGGTGGGGAAGTGCCAACGCACACTCCGGCTGTCAAATCAATTGTAGTAATAGATACGGTGTGAGAGGTACTTTAGATGCGAGCTTCTAATATAAAAAGGGGGTCAACTTTAGAATAGCAAGATTATAGTTTGATTATAGTTTGAAAGTTTAAACTATAATAACAGTTAGGATAGCAAGATTATATATAGTTTGAAAGTTTAGACTTGCATTACCTCTAGAATGACACATTGTGTGACCTTTTATAGTAGAATATGATGAATATTGGCCATGGGATGAAAATATACGTGGCCTCATCTACATGGTTGGACCTCCTATTAATGGCATCAATCAATCATAAACATTTAATGTTAATATCATTTTGTTACCCATAATTCTGACAAAGGCTTAGACTTTACCTAATTGGTTGGGTAGGGCGTCGACAGCAGTAAATTGTCATATCAATCACTTATTATAAATTGCGTAAAAGATCTTCTGTCGGCTTCCTTATAGCCTCTCCCATTATGAGGGTTCAGTTCTATGTAAAGGATTGGCTTTAGCCAATTGGGCTTGGTTTCAGCAAAATGGGCATAGCTAACCGCCACCTGGTAGAATGATGTGGGATATAGGCCTAGGTCCGGGTGTTACGTAGGGTATTCTATGGCTTTTCCAATCGAGGTGTAACTTTATTCTTTGAAGTCTAAGTACGGAGATTCACATAATGCATGGACTTTTGTCTTGATATTATTAGGGTGAGATGTATGCTTTTGTGAAGAAAAATGTTTCGAAGAGTAATGTGTGTATATTTGTCCCCGAAGTCCTAGTTGTGTTGAGGTGTAAATGAGTTGAATTGCCATCACGTGTGTGTAGTTATGACAATATTCTTTAAAGGCTAAAATGTGTTAAAGGCGTGGCCTTGGTGAGGAGGCGGAGCCTACTGATGTAGTTGAAGCTTGTAAAAAGGCTGAAATTAGCTAAGGCAAGACCCTTGCTAGGAGGGCGAGCCTGTTGATGTAGTTGAAGTTGTGATAAGCCTGAAATTAGCTAAGACGAGGTCCTTGCTAGGAAGGCTAGCCTGTTGATGTAGTTGAAGCATGCTATAATGCTGAAATTAGCTAAGATGAGGCCTCTGCTAGGAGGGCGAGTATGTTGATATGGTTGAAGCCTGTGACAAGATTGTGATTAGCTAAGGCGATGCCCTTGCTAGAAAGGCAAACCTGTTGATGTAGTTGAAACCTGTTATACGGCTGAAAGTAGAGTCTATTGATGTATTTGAAACTTGTGATAAGGTTGAAATTAGCAGAGGTGACCTGTAGTTATGAGAGGACATTGATGGGATGCATGTTACAATAATTTAAAAACCTATCATGTTTCCAAGATACGAATTTGAAGTAGTCTCGTGTTTATCAATACACATATTGTGTGCGTAGTAAATGCGCAATGATGATAGTTTGTTACCTTCGGGAGAGGTGACGTGAATTACATGCACGTGCTTATCACGAATTGATCATAATCGTTCATTTGATTTTTCAAATGGGCACCATTTGGGTTCAATGATTCAGATGAATCACGGGAACTATTGTTACTCCTCAACTAAAGAGGCCAAAGAATACCCTACGTGGCACTCAGGCTTGGGCCCACACCCCTCGTCATTTTGCCAGGTGATAGATAGACCAGCTCATTTGGCTGAAGCCGGACTTATTTGACTGTAACCTACCCTTTGCATAGAACCGAACCCTCATAGTGGCAGAGGCCATAAGGGGAGCTGACAGTAGATATTTTATGCAATCTATAATAAGTGATTGATGCGACAATTCATTGTCGCTGTCACCCAACAATTAGGTAAAGTCTAAGCCTTTGTCAGAATTACGGGCTACAAAATGGTGTTGGTATTAAATACTTATGATTAATTGATGTATATGCCCCAACTGTGTGGAAAAGGCCACATATATTTGCATCCCATGCCCAATATTCAACAACTATAAAAGCTCACACAATGTGTTATTCTAAAGGTAATGCAAATTTAAACTCTCAAACTGTAGTCTTGCCATCCTAATATATTATCACAGTTTCCCCAGAGTCGATCCCCTTTTATATTGGATGCTTGCGTTTAATGCACCTCCCACATTTATACATATTGTTACAACTGACTTGATCGTTGAAGTGTGCACGGTCAACTACCGCCGTCGGACGAAGCCACACGTTTTGTCCAAGTGTGCAGGAATTAGGCTTACTGGAAGCGGAAGGCTTTAGGATTTGTTGGCTTTATTGAAGGTACAAAATTCGAGGTCAACAAGTAACAAGTAAATTTTAAATAAATATAGTTTATTGATCAAGATTAGAAATGAGTAAATAATTTATATTGACAAAATTAAATTGTTTTTAAATTTTTGATATACGTCCTTTTTCAATCTAGACATTAAGCCATTGTTTGATTTTGCTAAAATTAAATTGTTAGTAAATTTTGATAAAAAAAATAATAAAATTTGTGATTGAAAATTTGATAAAATAATGAGTCTCATGTGATTGAAATACACTTGGAAAAAATAAGTTTTGAAAAATAGAGGTACAAACGTGAGCTAATTATGTTTTACTAGTATAGCCTCTGTTTGAGTCACATTATTTTTTTCATTCTCATTCTTTTACTCATTTTTAACCACATATTCTCCAATAAAATAATATTTTTATCACATCAATAACTTTTCCTTCTTTTTCAATCACATATTCCCTATCACATCAATAAAAAAATACATTCTTGGAGCAAAAATGTGTATAAAACATGGGCATAGTAAAGTCAAATTTAGAAGAGTGAATATGATAGTACGTACAAGTCCTATTTCCACACACACAAGGTCGTTATAACGAAGTTACAAATTTTCTATTTTTATTTTTTCTGGACTTTTTAATTGCACTAAAACCCTTCAATCTTTTCATATTATTGTACTTATAGCTTCACATTTTTCATCATATTTTTATCCTTGAATCTTTTATTTTA